GCTTGGGATTCTGTGTCTCCTTCTCTCTCTCTGCCCCTCCCCCGTTCTCTTTCTCTCAAAAATAAATAAATGAAAACATTTTTTTAAAAAATTTAAGGGTCTTGACATGGGGAGATTATGCTGCATTACCCAAGTGGGTGCAGTGTAAGTCCTTGTAACAGGGTTGGCAGATGCAGACATCCTATAAGAGTCAGAGAAGGAGATGGGATGACAGAAGCAGAGATTGGAATATTGCCATTGCTGGAAAGATCCATAAGCCAAGGCAGGAAACAGCCTTTAGAAGCTGGGAAAGGCAGGGAACAGATTCTCCCCTAGAGCCCGTAGAAGGGGCATAGCCCAGCTGTCCCCTTGACTTTGGCCCCATAGGGCACATTTCAGCCTTCTGACGTCCAGAAGTTTAAGAAACGAATCTGTGCTGTTTTAAGCCACCCCGTTTGTCTTGGGTTAGGACCACAGCCATAGGAAACTCCGAACGTAGTTGAATGCCGAACAATACCGCCTCTCAACATGTGTTGGTTGTCTGTCTGGAAACCAGCCACGAAGCTCAGGAGAACCCCGGGCCCCCTGCCAGGCTGTAATTTGATTCCCCATCTCACATTGGTCAGCAACACAGCCTCCACTACCTGTGACTGTTCAAGACAAGACAACACAGGAGAGTTTGGTCATTTCCCGGCCTCCCTCTGGGTGGCGGCAGCAGCCCATAGAGGAGCCCCGCTGGAGCTGTCCCTTCTGATGTGAGAGCTCCTTACCTTCCCTCTGATGGCTCAGGTCATTCATTTCACTTGGTAAATATCTCTTGAGTGTGGAGTAGTGCTCAGCAGTGTGCTAGGCTCTGGGGATATGGCGGTGAAAACAAAACCCTACAGTTCAAATCACGATCCCCAGTCTCTTGGTTTGACGGTAGACAGCTAACAAATGACCAAGTGCCCTTGTCCCCTGACCATTCACTCTAACCTTGGGCCAGCATGGGGGATGCTGCAGCAAAGGGGGGGTCTGCAGGGCTGCATCATACAGACCCAGCACCGGGTGGGCTGGGGGCTGGGGCATCTGTAATGTCCATCCATGCCAACCTTGGACTCAGCCCACGCCTGGGTCAGACCTGCCCCCCAGCGAACTTCGGACTGCTTCAGCCAACACCAAAGGGGATGCGTGCATGGCTTAACCTTTGCGGCCCCTCAGGCTCCCAGCCTCTCTGTGCGCTTTTCTTACAGATTGAGGGGACCCAGAAGCTGCTCAACAAGGACCTGGCGGAGCTCATCAATAAGATGCGCCTGGCCCAGCAAAACGCCGTGACCTCCCTGAGTGAGGAGTGCAAGCGGCAGATGCTCACAGCCTCCCACACCCTGGCCGTGGACGCCAAGAACCTGCTCGACGCCGTAGACCAGGCCAAGGTTCTGGCCAATCTGGCCCACCCGCCTGCAGAGTGATGGATGGTCGGCACCACCTGCCTGCGTCTTCTGCCCCTGCCTGTAGTGTACCTCCCCCGCCCCCACCCCCGGCCCCTGCCTTGCCTTCGGTCACATGGGTCTTCTCAGGGGGACGGCTGAGGGGAGTCCTCCCCTTGCCACTTTGCACGACCCCCTCTCCCCACCCCAACCCCCAGACTGTGCTGCTCAGGCTGCAGCTGGAAAGAGGGGACTCAGGGCTACAGATGCCAGGGGGTGACAAAGAGGGCTCAGAAGGAGCCCTGCTGCCACTGGCCACTCCCTCCTCACACCCGCCGCCCCGCTTTGGCGGGGAGAGGGGTCACACTGGTGCCCCTAGTGGCCACGATGGCTTTATGCATGGACACGGCAGGACCAGTGGAACCAAGCTATTCCTTCTTCTTCCGCTCACGGAGGTCCCCTGATGCAGAGGGACTGGGGAGGGGTTTTCCTTTGGGGGTGGGCGGCTGGCGAGATGAGGGACGGGCCTGGCTTCCTTGTACAGTGTATATTGGAATTTATTTAATGTGAGTGTGGTCTGGACTGACAGCCGTGTGCCCCCCTGAGGGGGGACCTGGGACACAGTCCAGGAACAAGCTATTGGGAGTCCGGGCACAAGACGCTGTGTTGACGACACGCCAAGCGTCAAGGAGAGGGGGAGAGATGAGGCCAAAACAGGACTTGGACCACAAGATTGTGCCTCTCTTCCCTGTGCCCTTTCTCTCCCTTCCCTGACTCTGCCCCTTCCTTCTCTCCCTCTTTTCTTACTTCTCCTTTTCTTCCCCTCCCCCACCGCCTTCCCAGCTGCCCCACCCCTCCCTTGTGTTGGTGCAGAATACTCTTTTACCTTCTTTCTAGTTGACTTGTGGATGAATTAAAATTGTACCATTTGCTTTGTGGTTTGATTGTTTTGTTTGCTTGACCTGCTCTTTGTGGGGAGGGGGACACTGGCCTTGGGCCACAACCCTGGAAGAAATTGTGCTCTGTTGGGCGCAGCTCCAGAGCCAATACTGGGCTGCAGCACGGAGGGGGGCATGGTGACGCCAGGGCATGGGGTCAGGTGCGTGCTCCAGCCCCTTCACCCCTGCACCTGACCGAAGGGTGACTTTCCAGTGGGGACCCAGGGCAGCCCCCTCCAGGGCCACACGAGGACCACCGATGACAGTCTCCCAGCTGGGGCTCCAGCGGGGCATGGGTGGTCCTGCGGATGCTGAGGAGGGGGTCCCACAGCTGAAAGAGCAGCGGCCTCAGCCTCATATTTCATCTCTTTACTCACATGCAAGGTGGATGGGAGATGGGCTAGCATGAAGGAACATCACTGCACAGGAGATCGGGTCTGGGAGAGCCAGGAGGGAGGAGAAGGGAGGCTGGGAGGCTGCCCCCACGGGAGCTAAGAGGAGCCAGAAACCAGATGCCTCACCAAGTCTTGGGAAGAACTGAGGAGTGGGGGGCTGGGCCGAGGCATTGCAGATTTCCTCTGTGTCTGTCAGGGAGAGGTGAGTGGGGGGTTTGGAAGGAGGGTACTCCAGAGCCCAAAGGGAAGCTGGAAGTTCGCCCTGCTCGGCCTCCTCTCTGGGGTGCCCAGGCTGTCTGGAGAGCCCAGTGTCCGTCTGCATCCGTCAGCAGCTGAGGTTCTGCCCTCCAGGGGCTGGACAGGCAGGGGTGAGGCCTGATCCTGGGGCAGGAGCTCTTCCAGGTTCCAGCACGTGGCCGAGGGGTGCAGATTGCCGGATCCCAAGGTGTGAGGGTTCCATGGCTGCACAGAGCAGCTCAGAAGCCACTGTGGGGCTTCGGGAAGGACCAGGAGGCCAGGCTGGGAAAGGGAAGCAGGCCTGCAGCTTCTGCCTTTACACAGCAGTCTCGAGGTGCAGAGCGATCCAGCTCGTTCCCGTCAGTCACTGGGAGCAAAGGTCCCGAGCGCCGAGCACCATGTGCCCTGTAGAGGGGTGGGGGGAGCAAGCTGCGAACTTGAGTTAGTCAAGAATGGCTCAGGATAGCTTCCTGGTTTGTTAATATGCATTCAAGGCCACATGGCACCCCCAAAGACAGGGACTCTCAGCGCTGCCAAACGTCTTGGGGCTGCTGGTGCTGAGCCAGTTTGTAGCAGGGGGTGTGGCTAAAGGTAAGGAGAAGCCAGGGGTTCCAATGAGCTTCCAGCAAGGTGGGATGGCCCAGCTACCTGCATCCAACCACACATCCCTCCACCACCTAGAGGCCCTAACCTATACCTCCACCTGTGGCCCCGCTTCCCCCTTTCTCTCCTTCCAGAAAGAGTCTTTACCATCCTACTGTTAGACCTGCAGGATCAGACTGTGAACTTGTTTTTCTACATGGTTCAAAGACACCCTAACCTGCCTTTCCAACCTCCTGCCACTGCTCCCACCCCGGAGCCCCATCTCAGCCTGCCTGTTCTCCTAGACACTTCGTGCTCATTCCTGAATCCAAAGTGCCGTTCACAGCCTTTCCACCCCCAGAAGCACCCTCTCCCCTCTTCCCCATGCACCCATCCTTTGAGGTCTGTGCCTCTCCCCGCTGGATCACTCTGCTTGGACCTCCTGTTAGTGTCTTCCTGGCCCCTGCCAGGGAATCTTATGTGGCTTCGCACTGTCACCACCATATTGTAATCTTCTTCAAAGCAAGTTCCTTATTTCCTAGCTCGTCAGCATCCAAAGCAGGGCTCTGTGCCCAGCAGATTCTCAGCACATAATACAGTAACAAGTGAATTGACCCAAGGAGTCTTTGATGATTAGGCCGGTGTAGGGACTCCACAGAGAGGCACCTGCAGGCAGATGGTGTTGACCCCAAAGGTGTTCTCTAGAGGGGACAGAGGTTAAAGATGGTCAAGCAGTGCCGCCTTTGGGCCAAAACAAGGAACAGGAAATCAGATCATTCCAGCCAGGAATGGAGGGAGAAAGAGACCAATGGTCCCCAGGAAGCAGACGATGATAAACAACCAGAGGAATATCCTATCAATGACCATGGCCACATACTTCCAGTCTTCCTTCACCTGCAGGTAGAAAAGGACTCACTGTGACAGAGGTCAGGCCTTGGGAGAGGGGAAGTGTCCCACCCATTCACAGCCCTGTAGCGATGACACTGGGGGCAACAGGGGTCCCACCGAGAACTTGGGGAGCTAATGTTGTCTCAAGACTCAAACAAGCCTCTCCTAGTGATCCCTGTCCTATCCCACCCCTGTGACCTCACCCCAGAGCCTTCCCATAGACTCTCAAGTTCCAGCTAAGGGAGGCTAGAGGTTCTCCAACCACCAAGGGGCATGGGTCTTCTCAGGGGCCTACAGTGATTTAAAGTCAACACTCAGCAGTTACAAAATGGTGAAGACTTTGCTGCCCTGACATCACCTCCCACCCAATTCCCCCATCCACTGCAGGAGTTGGAGAGGAGGAGGTAAGCAAGGGTAGTGTGGCCCAGGGAAAGGGGTGGGGCCATGGGGGGGCGGGGCTATGTGGAATTTGTGCTCAAAGACCAAGCAAACAGTTCTGGATTCCTACCTGCTCCTAGATTAATGATTAATTTTCCTTATCTACTCAACAAGGTCACCCACTAATAACCTCCCGGCCTTTCATCCTTCCCTAGGTTAAGAAATCTGTGATTCTGAGCAGTGGCCTGCTGACCTAATAATACTGGGCACAGCAGGGACCAAGATGGGGAACCCGCCTGGTACAACCCAGGTTCCTCAGGGTTTGTGGGTGAATAGTGAATTCCACAAAATGCCCAGAGCCCACAAACAAAGAGAACTGTGAGGAAACCCATCAGGACAGAGGAAGAAGGCTGACAAAGCAGCAGCCTGATTTATCTGATTTATCGTCTCCTGATGATAGTCCCTCCACCTCCCTCTGCCCCCTTGCCTCACCACCTATAGGGTAATGGTGATAAAGGCTGGCGTGAGGATGGCACGGGGAATTTCAGCATCTGAGGACCCTCCTTCTCTGGCCTGCTGTCCCCCAGTGAGCCTTAACCAGAGCATCCTTGGCTGCTGTTCTGCCACCTGCCAATTAGTGTCTTAAGAGCTGCTAGCTAGAAGTTCTTTATCAGTTTAGTCCAGACTCCCAAGGGCCACACTGAGGGAAGTGGGTCCTCATGAAGGAGACCAGGTGGCCCAAACTGACACCTTGGGGTAAGGTGGTTCCCTACCAGGCTGGTGGAATCACCGAGGGGAAGAGCCCCTCTCCCGGCCCCCACTCACCGAAGAGTCAGCATCCTCAGATCGCAGGTGATCAGCAATATAGTGCACACCTTCAAGTGCCTTCTGTATGCGAGGTGACAGCAGAAGCCCGCCCTCCTGCAACTGGACCTCCACCCTGGGCCCTGAGGCCCCCTGATGTAGACCACCGTGGCCACAGAGGACACCCATGGAGGGGGATAAGTGAGCTGCCCACCCCCATCTGTCTTCCTCCTCCTTTTCCTCCTCTCTCTCCTCCGCATCCACGTTGGTCTCCAGCCAGTAATGAGAGGAGCTGGGCTTCAGATCTGGGGGGTCACGGGGCTCCAGGGGGGGCACAGGCCGGTTCATCAGAAGCCACCGGGGCACACAGCCCAGGAAGGCCACCCGCACCCAGTGGGGCATAGTGTGGGTGCGGGGGGAGCGGTGGTGGACGTTTAGTACAAAGACCGTGATGATGATGGAGAGCGTGACGAAGATCATGGTGAAGAGCAGGTACTCGCCGATGAGCGGGATGACCAGGGAGGTGGAGGGGATGATGTCCGTGATGAGCAGGAGGAAGACGGTGAGCGAGAGCAGCACGGAGATGCAGAGCGTGATCTTCTCGCCACAGTCGGAGGGCAGGTAGAAGACAAGCACCGTGAGGCAGGAGATGAGCAGGCAGGGGATGATGAGGTTGATGGTGTAGAAGAGGGGCAGGCGCCGGATGACGAAGTAGTAGGTGACGTCGGGGTAGATCTCGGCGCAGCAGTCGTACTTCTTGGTGTTGTAGGTGCCCGTGGCATTGATGATGGCCCACTCGCCGCTCTCCCAGTAGTCCTTCAGGTCCACCGTCTGCTCTGTCTGCTCCAGGTCGATCTTGGCCTTGTCGTACGTCCAGGAGCCAAACTTCATCTTGCAGTTCTGCTGGTCGAAGGGGAAGAAGGTGACGTCGATGCTGCAGGAGCTCTTGTAGATGGCCGGGGGCACCCAGTGCACAGTGCCCGTGGAGAAGAGGTGAGCCTTGGTCATGTGGGTCACCGCAAACTCCCCATCTGCACTGGAGACAGGAGAGGAGCTGGAGGACCCGGCACAGCCTGCCTGCCCAAGCCAGGCTGCTCCAGACAGCCAACAGCAGGGGACCCCGAGAACAAAGCCGGACCTGGCCAAGTTGCGGGGATTTACGCAAGCCTGTGAGACTCTTCCCGCGCATATTCAGAGTGACCTGAAGGAGTGTCTTTCAAACGCTATCTTTTTAATTACAAAAGTAGGAATTTTGAGGAATATAGGAAAATACCAAGAATTTTAGGGATGCCTGGGTGGCTCAGTCGGTTAAGTGTCCCACTCTCGATCTTGGCTCAGGTCACGATCTCACGGTTCCTGAGATCGAGCCCCGTGTTGGGCTCTGAGCTGACAGCATGGAGCCTGCGTGGGATTCTCTCTCTCCCTCTCTTTCCCTCTCTCTGCCTCTCCCCTGCACGTGTGCAAGAGCACACGCACACATGCGTGCACTCTCTTTCTCGAGATAAGTAAACATCTAAAAAGAGAATTTTTAAAATAACCACATTAACATTCTGATGTTATGTACATCATGTATGTTTGATTGACATACAGATCGTGTATATAATTTTTTACATGTTTATAAACCCATGGGGCGTATAGTCTCATTGCCTGCTGGTATTCATTTAATATGTTAGAGTGATTATGTATATTTCCTCCCCCCAGCAGATGGTCAGCAAAGCCCTTATCTGGGGTCTTGCCTTCTCCACCTGGGATCCTTAGCTCCTTGCTCAGAAGAGACCCAGCACCTCTGCTGGTGTAGAGAGATACCTCCTTGACTCCATCCATTTACTGTGCGTTTCTACCTGGGCCTCATCCACTAGGGGCCGCACGGGAGCTGTGGGGGGATGGGATGTGGGACACGGGCCTGCCCTTCAGGAACCTCGAGGAAACCAGAGGCAGCCCTGCACACCTACACCACAAGGGAGGCAGTTTGGCAGCAGCACTCCAAGGGCAGTCCAAGTGTTCCCCAAGACACATTGGGGGCGGGGGCGGAGGTGGGGGTGGGAGGACCTCCCCAAGTGAGCAGGGTCACCCTGAAAGTAGTGGGATTGGCAGAGAGATGGGGTGAAGAGCCTACCAGCAGAGCCTGGGCGGGGAACAGAGGAAAAAGAGGGGAAAGACAGAACTCAGTGTGTGCTCAGGGCATAAGAAGGGGTGGTAGAAGGGGCGCCTGGGTGGCACAGTCGGTCGCGTTTCTGATTTTCATGATCTCACGGTCCGTGGGTTCGAGGCCCCC